TTAAATTTGAATAATTATATGTATCAGTTTCATTAATCGTTTCTGAGACACAGTTGTATTGAGAGAAAAATGGAAATTATTATTTGAATTTATTAATTATTATTATTTATAATTCAAATGGACAATAACATATGTATGATATATATTAATTCATAGCAATGAATGTGATCATTCAGTGCAATGAATTTTCAGCACTGATTTATTTTAAAACTGGAAATGGGAAAACATTGTACACTTTATTTTCTTTTTTTTTTCCTTCTTTCCTCGATGCTTAACGTGCAAATTGCAGTGCTAAACATTTTTCAAATAACACTGTTACTGCTCTTATATTCTAATATTAGAAATATCGTTAGATGATAATTCTTTGTAACGTCCATTGAAATATTATATATAAATCTACACGTACGAATGAATTTTTTCCCTTGAAATTAGCACTCGTAGAATTCTCAGAATGTTATCAAATCTAGTGAGTTATTTCCCATGGACGATTGTAATGATTCTCTAATTTCTGAGAAATTTTTATCACGTATTATTTAGCGATAATGATGAATTATTTTTACCTCTCTCTTCTACTTTCTCACGTATCTTAACTATATGAGACAAAATAAGAACATGGACGAACGATCTTAAAAATGCACTTCTGCTACAACCTGAAACAATTTGTTCGAAGTTACTGTTGGTCAAAAAAAAAAAAACAGTTTTTTTTACCGTAATAAAGAGGTCGCTACCAACAACCATCTAGTGCCACGTAGAAGAACTAGAGCATTCGATCGTTACTGATCTTCCTAGTTTAGTATTTGGTTAAGGTTCATATACTTGAGCCCCACCCTAAGTTTTATTTTAAATCTCATATATGATATATATAACCCATAAGCCACATTATACAAATTATTAATGAAACTTTGCGACAATTTTGTTCCTGGTAGTGATTGATAAATTATCATTGATATTAAAATAAGAATGTTTTACGTTGAATTATGTCAGTCAGACATATTTCTGAATTTTTATTATATGTCTCTCATATGTTTGATGATAATTTATGCAACTATGATCTTTTTCAATGTCACGTGCATATGTTTAAATTATTAAATTTACGTTTGCAATTCTCGTGCTAAGAAACTTTTTCGAGATTCAAATATTGAATTACTTTAATGGACAGCACGTAAAAAGCCTGGATTTCAATTCGATTGAAAACTTACGAAATTTATTGAAGGTTTCATTGCATAATGCATATTTTTGACAGATTACATTCACTGTTTCAAAGCATTAAATTGAACATAAATCTAAATACTGATCTTTCATTGTTTATAATAATGTTAAACTAAGAGAGAAATGGAATAACTTTGAAAAATGAACAAGTTATTAAAAGATGTAGAAACTATGTTCTGCGTTTTACAATCTATCGTAAAACCTATCATACACTGCGTTTGTCATTCATAGTTTTCTATAATTAATTCGTGAGATCGATTACTATATTTTTCATGAGGCTATGAATATTTAATTGTTTCATTTTTTTCTTTTTTTTTTTCAATCATGTTACCTTCATAATCTTTTATTTATAGACGTACATATATGCAAGTTATACAAATTATGCTCTCTCGTTTCCACAGATGAATACAATTCTTCTTTACATCAATGTGGAATATTTCTATATAACATTAGGATGCATATTATTTTATGTAATCATTCAGCGATATTCCTGGGAGCACGTCATAATGTGAATGTTCATAAAAAAATTCATATTTTTATAGATCAAATTTTCGCGTATTCGCATTTGTCATGACTGCATATTCGCTGTTTATTTATTATCATTTTACACGTTCTAAACTACTTTAATTTATCTATTTAATTTCTTCTATCACATGGAACTATGAACAATCTAGCAAAAATTTTTTTTCATTATCATGTAAGATAATATCGACACATGGTTATGTAAATGGCAATACTTCATATCAGCTTTACACTTCGTACTATTAATTACTAAATGATTTACCAAAACTCGCGTAAAACGTAACACATTGAACGACACACCATCGGAAGGTAATGAACAACGTAAGAAACGATTCTGGAAAAAGTTGAAAAGAAATAAGTAAATAAACGCGTCGAAAATCTAGAATCAATTAAAATATTCGATGAAAAATCGCGCTGTATTTAAAAAAAAAAAAAAAAAAAAAAAAAAAAGAAAACGATATTTTAATTCGGGCGAAGTAATGAGAACTCGTAGCGTGCAATGCGCACACGCCGCTTACACGGGACACCGGAACGTACCTAACTTTTCCTGAAACGGTGTACACAGAAAACCGCGTGGCTGTGAACAGCGAGCAGAGCGCAAGCCAAGGCAACGAGGCAACACCGCGTGGCCGACCAGCTGATCGGCCAGAGACATGCGACTACACGGGGTGGAGAGGGAGAATCGTGCGCGACTGGGCTAATGAGCGTGCGACCTATTGGGAGTTCATTGGAGGGGGCCGAGGCAACACATGGAGGGGAAAACAGTGGTTCCTTCCATGAAAGAGTGGGGGTAGTCATTGCTATGTTGCCGTCACGTCGAACGTTGCTGACTGTTGTCGCCACTGTTTTCTACAATCGAATGGCATTGCAAGGTCTAGGAGCTAAACGCGCCCACACACGCACGACACACACACACACACACACGCGCGCATCACTTCCATCTTATTTTTTTTTTATATTTATATTTAACGTGTTCTCGAGCTCTTTCTTATTTTATTTATGTCGAAACATTCGTCATTTACACGTGTATCTTATAAATTTTTTAAATTACGGCATTTCGTTATAAGACGCTTTATTTGAAGAATCCTAAGCATTTTTCTTTTTTGCGAATATTTAGAAATTCTGTTACTCAACGCTTGCTATATTTGTACTAATCTTTTATTCAAACGTCACATTATAATTCTGCAATTAATTATCGAAATATTCTCGTTAGTTTAAGAATTTCTTAAGAGGTTTAAGAAATTTTGTTGAAAATTTGAAATTTTTATTTTACAAATCTAATTATTACAAAGAGTATGGATATATACGCTTAAGTTTAACATTGAACGCTCCATGAAAATTCTAACGTGAATTCGATGTTTCGTGAAAGCGAGTTTTTTTTTTAGAACGAATTGGTACGTTCGTTAAGCAAAGATACTGCAACTATTCGGTACATACATCGAGAAATGGAAATACTGTGTTGATGCGATGTTGTCACAGCATCCGAAATATTGCAACGTTGCTCCTTGCCTGAGTGTATCGCATCGATAGTATAAGGTACTTCTATTCTCCGTCGTCTTGTTCAACCGTGTCGTCAGGAAACAGAAAGCACGCATAAACGCTGACACTACTTAGTAATTGTTGTTCGTACTGCGATGTTTCGTTGTTTTGTCAAAGTTCGCAGTTTTGGTAGAAGTGATATAATAACAACAGTTGTAGAAGTGATATAATCCCAAACCACAATATCTCAAGTGCGCACAATAAGTAATAACAGTTGTGGGTAACGAAACAGTTACATATGAAATTATTAAAAGGAACAAGTATCACAAGTAACGTAATCACAAAACATGCGAGCGTAAAGTCGCTTAAGAACGTTCTTCTAGCTCTCTGAACACACAAATAGTATCACACCAATCTTCTAATCATCGAATTATACTGGCAATGTATCCAGACGTGAGTTAATTAGTTAAACAACCGTGAAAACAAAACGAAAATTAAACACGAAGTTGAGCACTGCAATAAACAGTATAGAACCACACTGTAACACTGTAGAAACGCAACGCTGTTACAAGGAATGTTGCATGATTCAATCTAAATGTAATGTGCGCTCTCGCCAGCCTGCCGGTCTGACCAGTTATGTTCGTTCGTCGAGCCGTCATCTCATCGTACGCTTGGTCTTTCAATCCCCCACCACTAGGTCTACATCTCGCTAATACGCCCTCGCACTGGCTGAAACACACGTCGGCACGGCGTATTCCAGGAGCGTAACTAGTAGAATCACTGTGAGGGCGCTTTTCGATTCCGTGGCAGGTGCCACTCTCAATACACGATACTTAACACGACTATGCAAGTCGGTACAAGATCTTACGAAATACAAACAGTGTTGCAACTAACTTCAAACGTACATCGACAGGTTCATACATACGCACTGGGTATGTACTTTTGCTTAGAATCGTTGATTTCATTATTGTATGTCGGAATTTTATTGAATTAAAATTAATGTCACGTCGTTTGGAAAGACTTTTCAAATGCAAATATATCAGCTAGCATAATGAACAGTGTGTAAAAGAATTTTAAAAATTTGATATCTATTACAAGAATGATAAATAAATCAAATATAAACAAAAAATAAAAATAAGGATATGGATGACATAATTTTATGCACGAGTATATTATAATATGCAAAAATTACCAAGCCGCCGAAATATATACAGTTTAATACCTGATAATTTTTGATTCATATTCGAATTTGATTCACATTAAGAGATAAACATACAGGTATATTTCAAAAATACTATTTTATCGTATATTTGTTACATACATAGCGACATTCGTTGCATACACGAATCTGATTTGATCTATACGTAAAATTTAACACCTAATGTGTAATGTATGTATTTGACTATACGACACAACGTCACAAGGCAAATTACTGATCACGTATAGGGTACAGCACACCCTTTGCACGCCGTAGTGGCACAGCTACACTTCGCCACATCGATTTTACCGGCTCGCTTGCACTCACACTCGGTCGACCCGTTCACTGAAGGAATGTCTCATATGCCTCCCTCCGACTCCCTTTTCCTCCCCTTTGCCTCTCCTGACCCTACCCCTACAAAACCTCTCTGTCACTCAGTTAGTTCTCTTTCTAACTTGTCTTCCATCCCTTTCTACCAAGCTCGCCAACTTCTGCTTGCCCTCTTCTCCTCCTCCTCCACCTCCTCCTCCTCTTCTTCTTCCTCTTCCTCTCCTCTGCTTCCTCTCGCAGGTCTCTCGATCTCACTTGGTATCTCTCTCGCACTCTAGTAATTTCTCTCTTTCTCTCTTCCCTGTCTGTTGTGATCGTTGGGCAGTAGCGCCGTCGCGGGGAGGTGGAGGTTGCACCTTTTGCCGCATCTCGGAATCTCGCGCGTTGCTCATTTGCCGTACATAGGAGAGGAGAAGAGAGGCAGGGAAAGAGGGAGTGCGAGAGCGACCAAGAAAGAGAGAAAGAGAAACCTCCGCTAGGTAGTAGTATGCGAACAGTACGGTGGTCGGACAGTTCCAGTTCCGTTTCGATTAGACGAGACTACGCTGGGGTTTTTGGCTCGCTTGTGGCCCGTGAAACGTACGCGTAATGCCGTTTATCGTGGCCATTGACGGCACTCGGTGCTGCTGGTGCTGTTGCTGTTTACCCGGCGCGCTAACTGCACGCCGCTTTTACAAGAGGAACTGCATAGTTGAAGAAGATACGAAGTGAACCAACTTCGTGAGTGTTCGAAAAGATAGCTTACGTGTGGCTCGTTTGGATCGTTCGATACGACATCGTGATTATGCTCATAAAAGGGTCAAGTCGTGAGGAATAGAGGAGTGTACTGTAAAATCCGCATGTCCCGATTCACTGGGTTCGTATATGTTACTACTTCCCCATGTAACCTCCTTGCTTACGCACACTAACGCAAGCGCACATAGCAAAGCTAACTTAAAGGCAAATCGCTGCCGGAGAAACGATTCCCCGGCCCTCTAGCCCAGTTCCGGGCACAGACATTGATCCATCGATAAGGAAGTTTTCTATCCTTTGTCGGATTGCTGGCATGTTCAGTAAAGTGCAAGAAAGTGAAACGAATCATCCGTAAGCCATAGAATCCTTGGTGTTCGTAATTCACCATTACTCTAATTTAGGGCTACACGTAAGTTCTGTATCGCGATAGGCAGAACTATCGATACTTGTAACCTACGTGCGACTGCAATTTAAATTGCATTTCCACTCTTTATTTTTCTTCTTTTTACTTCATAATATTCACGATGAAATACGCTTGTATCATGAGTATTACGATGAACCTTCGCAGTTCCGCTGTTACTTTCAAACAATTCACTATTCTATAATCTCATTGAAAAATTATATTCATTATGATACATGATTGTACGTGCGTTAATTTTTTTTAAGCTCAACGCGTTTTTAGACATTTAAATACAGTTTGATGCAAGTTCTAATTCCTCTAACAATTCTCACAGAGACAAGTAATATTTTCATAAATTTTTATATTTTTTTATTATTTTTGTTCTAATTCTTAATTAATTATCAAGGTATGTTCGGTTACGCTATATAATTCAATTCAATTAATTTCAATCTCAGTTTCAATTGATTCAAGCATATTACTGTCAAGTTGTCACTTTGTTTCCGTATCTTGTAATATTTCTTCACTGTGACAAAATACTGAATTTAATATGACACAATACATTGCACTACATCTTTGATAGAGCGAGATAAAAATACTTACACACGCTAAGCAGAATGCACATGTTTTATTTCATTACAAATACATTGCAATTTCACGGCACAATACGAAAGTTCGCGTAGCATTGCTTATTGTGATAATTTTACACTTACAATTATCACACTGACATATTATAAAATCGTATGTACACAAATCTAGCGGGTAATGAATGAGACAAATTTGAATGCAGCCGAAACTTGAAAGAGGCATGAAAAAAAAATTACCGAATAGCGAAGATGACGGAGGTGTAACCTTAAACGATTCATCTATATTTACAATGCTTTGTAGTAGCGATACTTTTAATCATAATAACCTGTGCACGTCAGTGACAGAGCGTGGAATTCAAACGTGTGCGTTCCGCATGGCAAACGCGCAAACGCGTGACCGCGTCCATGAGAACTTACCATTAATCCGGGTTCTTAACCGCGCGCGGAGTAAACGTGGCTGACACGCCGCCGATGATAATAATAAGAGTGCGTAATTTATCGGGGAATCGACGTCACAAATCGGATGACGTAGCGTGTCGTCGCGGTTATCGTTGTTGTTCATTGAAGGCAGTTTGCCTAGCGGCTGCATTTGGTGTATATGTAGAAAAGTATGTACGATAGGAAAGCCAGTTAACTATCCGACCTGACCAGAGTTCAGATGTGAAACAGTGAGTAAAACTGCCCCCTTGCGGAGCGCGTCCGTGGTTCCCAATCTAACCACTCCTCTGCCATCGAGTTCTTACCTCTTACCCCCCTTTTGTATCTCCCATTCTCTCTGTTTCTCTACTTCCACCCCCTCTCCATTTTCCGTCGCCTTCCCTCTTACCTCTTCTATAGCTCCGTAACTCCCTGCCCTTCCGTCGTTCCCCTCTGTTAGGGTCCTCCATTTTGTCGTGATTCCTCTAGCTCTAAACATATATTGCACATTTTGTTCACACTGTATCATTGACATTTACATACAAATTGTGCGCGAAACCGTGCCTATGGTTGACATACTGTCTATTAGCTCAAACAGCAAGTACGACTATGGGGCTCCACCATAGGCTATCCTGGAAGGTGTCACTTCTCTCTCTTTCTCTCCTGTACTGTCTTTTTCATTCTCATTCTTTCTCTTTTCATTTTGCCATTGAGCCTGCCTCGTTCTCCCTTGCACGTTCTTTGTTTTTCTTTTTTTTTTTTTCTTGGTCTTTCTCTATCCTAAATTTCTTTCTATATAATGAATCGTGTCTTAATAACACGCGATTTTTATTAGCTGGCCTATTATACGCCGGTATGATTTTCAAAATGTAACCTCTACCAAAAGTAACGAATCTTTGATTCGCGTTGCGATATTTCTCTCCATGTTGTTTCTTCTAGGAAGCTTATGTTAAATTTTACGATATAAAATAATTATACGACACAATTGCTTTTACTCTGTACGTTTATAGTTTAATGTGTTATTCTTATTTACTGTCATAATGATTATTTTTTTATTTTATTGAAATATTTGCAAATGAATATATTTCGACTATTATTTTACTGAAATGTCTTTTTCATTTCAGATGTCCGCTGGGTCACAAATTCAGATGGCACCTCAATCAACTGTAAACTCTGGTCAGTCAGTTCATAGTCAAGACTCGAACATGAGCACTGGTAAATTAATATATTTTTACTTTAATGACAAAAGATAAAGTTCCATTTAATAAATAAACTAAGAATTGCTAAAACATATCATTATCTTGTCATAACTAGGCTCATCACATAGTGATAAGGAGGTAGATCCAAATACTCCAGAAAAGGTACCAAGAACTCCTTCGGAAAGGAAAAGAAAACGTAAAGCTGATGATGGAGGTGGAGGAGTTACTGGGGGACCTGTAGGAAGTAAGGGGTCTAGATCTGTTGCTGCTCTTGAAAATAAAAAAATAAATGAGTATTTTTCAAAACATCATTTGGGTAATAGCCCCATTCGACATGGGGGTGCTAAAAGTCCTTCACCTCAACAGGGATATCCTATGGTAAATATATAATGTATACATATATATACATATACACATACAGAGTACTTATATCATATCTAACTATAATTTTTCTTCCGCAATATAATTATGATGTCTATAATTCTTTCCTTACATCCTTTCTGATATTTTGTGTAATTATTTTTCAACAGTATCCACCATCGCCTCAACAACTCCTTTCACCGCAAGTAACAACACCCAATTCTTCAGTGGCAGAATTTTCTTCACTGATGCAGCCGCCAAGACCTCATCCTCAACCTCCACCTCCTCCTCCACCAACCTCAACACAACCTGCAGGCTCGATGGTCAGCAAGCAGGTGCAGGTAAGGCCTACCAACCTCAGTAGGACAAGCCAGGTCAGGCAAGCGAAGACTAACACCCCAAATGTAAGCAAAAATCGGTAATTCCTGCAAGCATTTTATAAGAAACGACCCATAAAAATTTAACCTTGAAGTATCTACAAGTCATACTTATGTTTAAATTCCTCAAATTTTTTCATAAATGAGTTATGAGTTAGATACTTTAAATTGAATATTTAATCTTATGTGTTTATATAAGAAATGGTTTAAGAGTATAGTAAAATGTCTCTGATAAATTTTGTATCTAGAAGAAAGAAATTTTCAAAATTAATTTACTTATCTTTCAAAAAGTAAATGTCAGTTCTTTGTGATATCTTCTTATTAAAAAATATCTTATAAATAAGTATTATTTGCTCATTTTATATGACATTTTATATTTTTCTTATTATCTCTTATTACATAATACGTAAAAGAGTATATTTTATACATTTTTATATAGTTGAATTTCTTGAAATTAGTTTTACAATGGGCATTTCTTGTCAGATGTTTGCAGTAAATTTGCAGCTAACTTCTGACTGGACTGTAGCACTGTATCCATTTGTTATCATAGGAGTGCAGGCTACCTTGTAATGTCACTCCTTATTTGATAAATTTTATTTTGCTTTCGAGTTATTTTCATTTATTTCAGTTTCCAAAATAAAAATAGGTGTGCATGTTTGCCATTCTTGACTTGGTATTTGGCTATAGTTTTATCATATCTCAAAAGTGATAAAATTGAAATTTATTTTATGATACACAAAATAATTATTATAGAAAAAAGAATATGTATGAAGTATACAGTGTCCTACAATTTTTTATACTTACATGCATACCTTGAATCATGCATACATTTTTGGTGTTTTCCTTGCTGCCTGTATGGTAGTTCTTTTCTATCTATATGTTTAGGTTTTGCTCTGTAGTTTTACTTTTAATAACAAAAGGGCTAGCCTATTAAATCAAATAATGTGTAGAACTAACTTTATCACAAATATCTATCAAGGATTAAACCTTGATTAATTTTCTAGAAGAAATTATCGAAATGTTGCACTAAAACTTAATTTGCATGTTACATCCATTTGGGTGCAACAAGGTATCTGGTATTTAAGAACTATGTTGACAAATGTATCAGATGTTACAGTAATTTGTTTCTATTTATTATAAAGTGTGTTATTTACATTTCAGACAGAACTTACTTGCCAGAGGATACAAGAATTTGAAACTCAAGCCTCTTCAGATTTAGAATTACGTAATAACAAAATTGATGAATTAAATAGAGTAAGTAAAATTTTTAAATGTCTCATGAGTATTAAATTATTAGTAATAGAATTAAAAAAAATATTTAAGTTCTCTCTTTCAAAAAATTATATGTTATATTATGTAATATGTGTAAGAATATTTTAAAATATTTTTAATCTTCGTCAGTTCAACAATAAAATCTTTTTGTATTTTTGTAATTTTTATATAATTAAGAATATGATTGTTTGTATTTTATTTTTCAGACAACTGATGAACTTAGGCATCAAATGGCTAATCAACAAAAACTAATTGAACAGCACAAATCTCATATAAATAAGTGTATAGATGTTGTAAAGAAGCTATTAAAAGAAAAATCAAACATAGAAAAAAAGGAGGCTAGGCAAAAGTGTATGCAAAATAGACTGAGGTTGGGTCAATTTGTAACTCAAAGGGTGGGTGCAACATTTCAAGAAAATTGGACGGATGGTTATGCATTTCAAGAATTAGCACGACGACAAGAAGAAATCGCAACTGAACGAGAAGAGATCGATAAACAAAAAAAGCTATTACTCAAAAAGAGGCCATCAAACAGTGAAACTGGTAGAAAACGTAGTCAGCCTCAACCTTCTTTGCACAATGGCACGGAAGCTACATTCTTAAAGCCAGATGCAGTACCTGGATCTTATACGTGGCAAGAGTATTATGAAGCTGATGAAATACTCAAGGTATTGGACTTTTCAAATTAATAATCGTTAATTTAAGATGTGTTTTTAAGATCTTAAGATTTGTTTTGTTGATTTGTGCATGTTGTTTTGATATAAATTCATATATGTTCTTTTCCTAGTTAAGACAAAGTGCGTTGAAAAAAGAAGATGCCGATCTGCAACTAGAAATGGAAAAACTCGAAAGAGAACGAAACTTGCACATTAGAGAACTGAAACGTATTCACAACGAGGACCAATCGAGATTCAATTCTCATCCTGTATTGAACGAACGTTACCTTCTACTAATGTTGTTAGGAAAAGGTGGTTTCAGTGAAGTGCATAAGGTATAGAAATCAATTTATTAAATTTAAAATAAGTAGTTTGTTGTAGTAGTAAACAATTAATTATTTGTTAAGCAATTCATTTTTTATAGGCATTTGACTTAAAAGAGCAACGATATGTCGCTTGTAAAGTGCATCAACTGAATAAAGACTGGAAAGAGGATAAAAAAGCTAATTATATTAAGTAAGTACTTCCGTAATTAAACTTTTTATTTTGGAATTAATCAGCATTAATCAAAATAAAAGTAATAACAGTTTTGCAACAAAATAGATATCTAAAGTAGTATTAGTGTTAATTATACATGTGATATTAACTTTTTTAATATAAGAATATATTTTTTTATTCTTTGTGCAGGCATGCGTTACGAGAATACAATATACATAAAGCTCTTGATCATCCTCGTGTTGTGAAATTGTATGATGTGTTTGAAATTGACGCCAATTCTTTTTGTACTGTCTTGGAATATTGTGATGGCCATGATTTAGATTTTTATCTTAAGCAGGTGTGTATTAGCGTATTTTTCATATAACACTTATTATGTATTATTATAATTAAATATTTTATTAAATATTTTCAGCATAAGACTATACCTGAAAGAGAAGCAAGATCTATTGTTATGCAAGTTGTATCTGCATTAAAGTACCTCAATGAAATAAAACCCCCAGTCATACATTATGATTTAAAGCCAGGTAAATTTTCATTTTATATTTTTTATTATGTAATATGAGAATGTCGAAAATTTTAAGTTTAGTATTTTAAGTTTAGTATATTATGCTAATATTGTAATTTTATAGGTAATATATTATTAACTGAAGGTAATGTTTGTGGAGAAATAAAGATTACAGATTTTGGATTAAGTAAAGTAATGGATGAAGAAAACTATAATCCAGATCATGGAATGGATTTAACATCTCAAGGAGCTGGTACCTATTGGTATGTACACTCTCATTTTAAAGATATACTCTATGGCCATTGAAAAGATTTCTATATCTTGATGGCGTATTGTACGTATTATATTTTACATAGGTATCTTCCACCAGAGTGTTTTGTTATTGGTAAAAATCCTCCAAAAATATCATCAAAAGTTGATGTTTGGAGTGTAGGAGTTATATTTTATCAATGTCTATATGGCAAAAAGGTATAATTGACTGTTAAAATAATAATTGTCTTATTAATTGTTTTAATTTTTGTACATTATTAACTTAAGATTTATATTCCAAAATTATATTTTTAGCCTTTTGGACACAATCAATCTCAAGCTACAATTTTAGAAGAGAATACAATTTTAAAAGCTACTGAAGTTCAATTTGCAAATAAACCAACTGTTAGCAACGAAGCAAAGGTAAAATTTTACTGTTAATTCACGTGAATTGAAAAAATTTAATTGATTGACAGTATGTAAATAAAATTTGTAATCTACTCGTGAATGTTTTTATTTTTATAGAGTTTCATAAGAAGTTGCCTAGCATATAGGAAAGAAGAACGTATAGATGTGTTGACATTAGCTAGACACGAATATCTACAACCTCCAGTGCCAAAACATGGCCGTCAAGCGAATAATCAGCAGCAGCAGCAACAACAACAACAGATTCAACAGCAGCAACAAACCTCATTTAGTATTGGCATGTTTAGTGGTATGAACGCGTCAAGCAGTTCGTAGTGGAAAAGAACTAAAGACAAAATCTTCAATATACTAATACATGCCAAATCTTGAACATTGAATTGCACACCATCTCATCTTAGGAACATAGCGATTGCTATAACGAATTGTAAATACTAAAAACCGGATAATATCACCATCACCAACGCCACGATTACCACTACCACTACCACTACCACTACCACTACCACTACCACTACCACTACCACTATCACTATCACTACCACTACCACTACCACTACCGCCATCACTACCACTTCCACCACACCTTTACAACTATACTTACAGGCCGACTACATAGGAGAGATGCAAGAGATGCGAGACTGGTCGTCGCAAGTCCAGAAGCTTGCGTCTTTCTACAATACAAGCTACATTATTCAGCATGACAAAAAAATGTTGTGTTCGTAAATATTCAATTGTATTATCGTTCCTTGTATCAAACAGTGGGCTGACTTGATAATAGTGTTTAAAAAGAAATGAGAGAAACAGATAAACATGTGATAAGTCATTGTGAATTAAAGTGAAGTTCAAATTAAGAAGAAAAAGAAACAAAGGAAATATAGCGATGGAGATCGTTGCAAGTGAAAATTACTCGGTGAAAATAAAGAGAGCAACGGAAGATAAAATATCCGAGGCAAAGCGTGTCGAAGCAGCGTAGAGGGACTTTGCTTTTACGGAGACGTTCCTCTCTTCTGAAGTTACGTATGGATGAATGAGTGTGACGAAAGATTGTTAAAACTAGTGTGCGTGTATATATTTATACTATATATATATATATACTAATAAATCCGATATAATATATATATATGGTGTAAAGAACAGGACAGCATTGACAGTGGAAAGACAACTGTGGTGGATCCTCGCATGACCTCCGTGCAGCCAAGTATTCCATGAATATTTGACTGCACATCATGTTACTTTATTCAAATATTAACATTATTACTTATATCATGACTAATAACGATTAACATACACACACGAGGAGATTTGGTTGGTTGTTCCTATTCTGAAATGAGTGGGCTTTATCTACATCGGATTGATTGGTCTAAGGTTCGAGTGCAAAGAAAGTAAAAGAATCGCGATGCTCCCAAATAAAAAAAGAACATACAGAAACGTAGTCCACGGTTATTATGCTCCATGCACATGTACATTTTTAATCCATAATTTTCTAATAGAATGATCCATTTCTCTCTTTTTTTTTCTTTTTTTTTTTTTTTAGAGTGGACTTCAGCGCGATAATTCTGATCTTACATTTTCGTGATATATAACAATTCGTGTAATCAGGTATTAAAAATTTTTAAAGTAAGATTCATGATGTTGTACCGACCTGGTTGCTATTTCTTTATTCATAATTTGTTTTATATATGTACGTTATATATAGATAATTATGAAATAGAAGATTAAGTTATTTTATCAAGTGCCCTTGCTTTGTATTATAGTCGCGTCTGTCGACAACCTGCAGCTTTTGGGAGTACTAGAAAGTTGTTAAAATGTTGTAAGTTGTTGGTACAATGTGGGCACGGTATTGATGGTTTCAATACCTACGTGATTGGCAAAGAATGGTCAGAGGAGAATACATTACAAGTCTGAACAGAGTCTACTACTAGATCCATCGCTTCTATTCTAAAAGCCAACCGTTCCTGCTTCCCTCTCCTATTTCTCTTGCGGTTTTTCAAATTTATTAAACAGGAAAGCGTATACTTTTAAAATTCCTCTACGAGGAAGTGCTTTTTGTAAACTAAGTTCTAAGACAAACTAGTCAGAAAATGAATAAATTCATTTAATTTTTTTCCGAGGAGAGGTATGCATAATTGTCAAAATAATAAGTTTCAATTTTTAGATATACATATTTATAATCATCATTTTCATATAATTGAAAAATTAATTATAATCGAGCAAAAATTCCCTAGTTTAGAAATTTTGCTTGAACATAATAGTCAAAATAATTGCGATTAGTTTTGTAATATTCTCTTGTATTTATTGTAGTTTGAAACGACAATTGATGCATACTATTCTTGGACAAAAAAAAAAAAAAATAGCATATACTTTGGCCAGTAAAATTTACGAAAAACACTTCTTTTAAAAAGAAAGGATATCGTTTTTCTACCACAAAAAGATTAACTCATTTAATAAGATATCAAACTGACGAAAGAATGAAAAAAGATCATTTAATGAGCATTTATTCTATGAAATCTCATTTGGGATTATTTGTAATGATAAAAAAGGAAACGAATCTGCACCAAGCAGTGTTTATATGTTTTGCGATAGAAGCAATTTTGCATTTGTATATAGTGAAGACTCCTTAAAAATGCATCGTTAATAAAACTATTAAATGCATATATCGAAAACAAATTTTTATTCAAGGAATAAGATTTTTTTCATAGAAAATTCATTGCACAAATATCCAAATATTGCCTGATCAGATAATATTCTTTAAAATTACGGGTCAACTTGAAAAAAAAAGCATTACATAATATTTCCAGCTCTATATGCTTTTATAACTATACATGTTAGAGTTTGGAGTATTATTATGCATTTTAAAAAAAGAAGAGGAATTCAAATAATTCTTTAACAAAGTTTTTTTTTTTATCGCCCTTGCGTGTCAGCATAGTCACGATCTTCCTCACAAACAACAGGAATTGCGTCGAGGATGGTGTATGAAACGTTATAGCAATAAATTTACGTATTTGTGTATAATTTAAAGTTAGTAAACTTATTAATTAAATATGAATCACATATAACAGTGTATATTTCTCCTATAATACGTATGTGTGCACATAAAATTTTTTCTTTCAACAGGTAAATGTTTGGATAGAAACATAATACAGAATATTATTTTCATTGAATTTGATGAACAAAACCTAACTTTTTACTTGTATTTAATTTCAATAATAGTACAAAATTAAAGCTCTTATAAATTTTAAAAACTGTACACACATGTATGATATGATCTTCCAAATAATATATTGGAAGATTTTAATCATCCTAGTTTCAAGGGCTTATGTGGTATTTATTGAGTTTTAAAGAATCAAAAAAACAAATTCCTTTTTTTTCATTAATTAATAGTTTCAAGCATATAAAATAATTTATTGCAAAATTTGTTACAAAATTGCAAAATCAAAAAATTTGTAAATTTTTGTAAAGTAACACACTCTACTATTATTTTCTAAACTGCAGATATGTATATATAAATTTTCTATAGCATTATAATAAGAAACCCCATCACCAAATAGGATTTATTAAAGATTTTGATATACAACTAATTACATAAATCACACTTGCATATGTAAGTTGTTTAGACATGAAGATTAACATATTCAATGTTATATATCGAATAGGAAATTTAATATTCTTTCTTTATGTATTATTTGATTGATTAGATTATTCATTTTTATTAAAATTTTATTCACAGAATATGGGTAATCAATCGTACGAATGTGCTAATTAATACAATTACCTCTATGGTAAGTACATTATTTATTAATGATATGTGACAGATAGATATCTGTAAAGAATGTACTCTGTTCCAAAATTAATTCAATATACAAAAAGAAAAAATAAATAAGAACAAATTTAAATTAATTAATATAACGAGTCTTAATATTTAAATTAATATTCTATTCATATTATAAATACAAAAGTTTCATTACAGTCATATATTTGTAAATCTCTACATGTAGTTATTAAGTATATGCAGAACATCAATTATATTCTTTATTCAATATCAATATTATTAATAGAAGTTATGTGACATATTAGTTAATATGTTTAAAATGCTTGAATAAGTATTTTATGAAGATGAAATGAACTTATTATTCTATATATATATACATTATTATTACAATAACAAAAGTTTCTTTTAATTTGAACTTGATATTGAATTTTTGCAACAAATCACACATTGTTCCATTTTCAATAGTTTGAAAACATATAAGTTGATGTGCAAAAATATGTGATTTTATTAATTTTTTTTACAAAACAATATTGTTTAAATTTCTTTTTCAAAAAATTAACATACAGAAATATAGATATTTTGGAATCTAATATTGTTTAAATATTTAGATATTGAAATGTTATAGTCAATCATGACTCAATTTACGTTACATACTATACATATTTAATTCTGACTGTAAAATTTTATTTTCTTAAAATATTCTAATTCATATATTTTAGTATATATGTACAGTATCATATAAAATTACTAATGCCTTGATAAAAATCAAGACAGAATTTGTTAGAATTTATATTAAATATGATCACAAAATTCATTACTAACAATTTGGATTCTGACATTCAACTTAAGATCATGTATTTATAATTAAAATTTCCTGGAACACGTGTCATTTATTTGCTTATACCTTTAAAATATTGTATAAAATTGATCAATTAGAATCCTCATCATCATCCGATTGCACAGCATATGAAATAGGTTTACGGACACGACCAGCAGTTTTTCGAGGTGGTAATGGAGAACTATCTACTATACTAAGACTACTATCTTCCTCTGACTCGGACTTCTTCTTTTTTTTCTTTACCTATATAGTTAATTAAGTTTCGTGCAATTGCAAATAAATTAAAAGAAATTAACACATAGTATTAATATAAATATCATATCTTACTTACTTTTTCGTGTTATATATTAAATTTTAATTGATAATTATATTATATACTTACAGGAGATTGTTTATTTGAAAACATAACTTCTTCCGAGTCTGAATCGGAAGAAACAATTTTTTTCTTTAATTGCCTTTTCATTCCTTTTCCACCATTTTCTGTTTTCTTTTTAGCAGGGGCTAAAATAATGAGAGGTGATGTAAGTTAATGATAATGTATGAAATATTTTGTGGCCACAATTACAGATAAACATAAACTAACGAATAATTATTTAATATTTTGCAATTAATAAGGTATTAAAAATTTTACTTTTTGTGGGAGGTGAGAATATTGACGATTCTTCACTAGATGCTGCAATAGGTTTTGTTGATTGTTTTTCTGAACTACTAACTAAAGAATCAAAGAGTTCTTCCGAACTAGCTGTAATGTGAAACAGTATAATTATAATTTCTAGAGAAAACTAGTATATAAATATAGTTAAAATTTTATACATTTACTTACGTTTTTTATGTATTTTAAGGATATCATCAGAATCGCTATTAACAATCGTAGTAGGTTTTGTTTTACTAAAAAATAAATTTAATGAAATACATTACTCATGCATATGTAATGTTACATAATTATAAATGAAATACTCACTGTTCTGTGTCTGAAGAAATACTGAGTACCTCGTCACTGGAAGATGATCCTTCACTACCGAAGTTGTAATTCTTTTTAACTATAATGTCAAATATAAAATTTACAAATATTAATTATATATGCATATTAAGAAAAACATACATAAATTTGTATAAGCATAAAAAGTGTAAACGTAAATACTGTGTAAACGTAAAAAACTGTTTAAAAAGAAATTAATACCTGTTGCTCTACGGGATGTACGAGGTGCTGGAGGAGGAGAAATACTGCCAAAATCGATATCGTCATTACTATCAGAATCTTTGCCTTTCTTCTTGTCGTTCTTTTCTTTTTTCACTTTTGGTTTAAATTGTAATGTTGTTTGTTTCAATCCTAATCAAAATAATCAAACGATTATTGTTGCCTAACTTCATAAATGTTTTCATTTTATTACAATATGAGCATATATACTTTTTTTGCCACCAGCCTTCTTTTCCAACTTTTCTGGACAACAACCCGATCTTTCCTCTAAAGATTTGGCATTTGATTCGATTAACATATCAATTTCATCCTTATCTTCTGTTGGTTCTTTTTTAATCTATCATGTTACATAAAATGTTATCTTATATTAAAATGTTACATATATTTTCACAAGAAATATAAGGCATTTTATAAAAACAAAAAAAAATATGTATATATAATATTTACCTTTTGTTTTTTGTTGCCCTCTTTTTTATCTTTAGATACAATATCTGCTTTCTCAATCTTTTTTTTTAATTCAGTATCAATTGTAGGTACTATTCGACGAATATCATCAGAAGTATAATATTTTGATGGCGGTTTTTTAATACACTGTTTAGACTTCTGTTCTTCTTTCCGTTCTTTTTCTTCTAACTACGATAAAATATAATATATGGTAAAAGTTGAATGTTTTTGTTTTGTTAAGAATAAAAAGAAATTACTTACTCTATTCAATTCATTCAACAAGTTATCTAAATCTTCTTTCCATAAAGAAATAGGTGTACGAGCTTGCAATCTTTTCAATTCTGCTACTTTTTCATCTTTTTGACGTAATAGTTCGTCTTTCTTTTCCTTTGTTAAACACCACAATGACATTCCTAATAAATAATCAAAGTTTTCCTTTGCAATGGCTGTGGATGATACAGCTGATTCTTCGTCAGCATTTTCTGTTACTTCTTCCTATCAACATATTATAGAAACTTACATATTAAATATTTATAGAAAAATAAAAATTATAATTACAATAAATCTTTTTTTGTTTACATGAGTTTCTTTTTATCACTTACTTGAGCTTCCTAATGTAGCATAACAATTAAATTTTGATAAATTTCAAATATATCGTTTTGATATAAAAACGCAATACTTACTAAAACTTCTTCCCTGTTTTGTGATAATTTCCAAGCGATAACTGGATCAGATTCATATTCTCGTCGAATTAATTCAGCAATCATATCTTTTCTCTTTTTATTTTCTATTACTATAGTACCATCACATTTTTCTAGAATAAATCGTGCTTGATTTGAAAGTTTTGACGCCTCTGCTTGTAGAATACCTTCTAAATAATCTTTTCTTTTATGATACGTTTCTAATCTCACTTTATAAAAGCCTCTCAAAATTTGAAGAGCACTATCATATTTTTGTAGACATTGATTTTCATCAAAAGCACACTGTACAAATAAATTTACTTATTATCGAAAATTACGTTCTCCATATTCTAAATATATTGTCTGTTTCTTACCATAGATGTAATTGTCATTGTTGATTGTAATTTAAATGCTTTATGAAGACCATCTCTTTCTAATTCTACTAATTTATCACGATTTAACATTATTATAAAATGTACTGCTGTATCTGTATTGTATTCCTTGTAGTCCCTATAATAATAAAGGAAAATAAATAATAAATATCTTTTAATCATTTATCTTACAATATCGATACTAAAATTATAGTTACGTAATAATAGATGGGGTTTTATCAGTTCCATGTAACATTGGTTCTAATACTGTTTCTTTATATGTTTGAGTCCAAGTTCCAATTGGAAGTTCAGTAATTTCAACTTTATCTGGTGCTATTACTGAGACTTCTCCATTAATAACATATCTATAATCTCCACAACTTTCTATAACTCCTTTAAAATTTTTATAATATGGAATCTAGAAAATATAACGAAATACATGTACAATGAATATTAAATAGAAGTTTTTTAAATATTACCATTGGTTTAGGATCAGCACCATCCATCATTCTATGCAAGTTCTCAATTATCTCTCTAGGATTATAATTTGGTATTTTTGTCATCCATCCAGTACCAATGCCATCGGCACCATTCACTAATACCATTGGTATAGTTGGTACATAAAAAACAGGTTCAATTTTTTGATTATCATCATATTCATGTTTCAATAAAGCATCATCATGCTTGTGAAATATATATCTTGCTAATGGACTGTGAATAACAAAGAAGATTATACGATAACCATTTTTTATGGAAGATATTTCCTTTATTTAGATACGATGAAATATTCACGAAAATGTACCAAATAACATTTATAATAATATTTATTTGATACTATCTCACGTGATATTCCACTGTATCTAGATAAAACACACATTCTCTGTATATAATTTCATGGATATTTATATACCTAAGCATTGTGAAAATGTAACGAGGACTTGCTGCGTCTTTTCCTCCTGCAAGTCTCGTACCAAATTGACCAATCGGTTGAAGTATATTTATATTATTACTTCCAACGAAATTTTGTGCAAGATTAATGATAGTCGACATAAGAGAAACTTCGCCATGGTGATATGCAGAATGTTCAGCTACAGAACCAGCTAATTGTGCAACTTTTACTTCACGCTTATCATTACGTTTCAAACATGTATATACTACTTTCCTTTGTCCAGGTTTAAAACCGTCGATCATATTAGGTATAGATCGAACATTATCATAGTTACTATATAGAACTAATTCTACATTAATAAAATCAGAAAAGGACACAGTACGTGTATCCTTTTCATACAGATAGCGTTCTCCGAGACCAATTTCCTTTCTTCTTTTTGTTTCGTCCATATGGTTCATTAACCAATCCTTACGTTGATCAACACATTTTTTACTAAAAGCCATAATGATATTTTGATCATCCTGATCTCCATCATATCTAAATCGTATTCTATGTCTAGTCATGTTTTCAAAATATTCTTTTGCTTCCTTAGCAGTGGAAGTACCCAAACCTGCAAGAAAAATATATTTATGAAGAATGAAGAATATAAAAATATATTTATGTGCTTCAAACAAAAAAATAAGAGAAATTTTAAAATATTAAAAATACAAACCTTTGTAGTATTTGATTTTATAGGTATGAAAATTTTCCGTTTCTGACTTCCACTTGTGAAATTCTGGCATTGAAAAGAAACTTAATACTTGATTTCCCTTTGTGGCTTTAACAATAGGTGTGATAAATTCTTCTATAAAATTTAATTTCAATAATGATGGCCAGTTATGATGAATGAAATTAATTAACAAGCCTTTGATATGGGAACCATCCTAAATAAATATATTTGATACAATTGTGTTATGATGTAATTAAAATATGCAAATGGAAACATTAAATTTATAAAAAGATTAACCTGATCTTGATCAGTCATTATCATCATTTTTCCATAACGTAACGTTTTTAAATCTTCTCGAGTTTCATATTTCTTTTTATACTGAAGCCCAAGAATTTTTATTAAATTATTAATTTCTGCATTTTCCAAAATTTGTTTATGTGTTGCCTCTCTCACGTTCAAAATTTTACCTAAAGTTGAAAATGTTTATAAATGCTATTTTGTGCAGTTTAAATAGTTCTTATTTACATTACTGTATTTATATTATTTACCTCTTAGAGGAAATATACCGTATTTATCTCTACCTATTGCCGCAAGTCCAGATACAGCCATTGTTTTAGCTGAATCTCCCTCGGTTAATATAAGTGTACATTCCAAGGATTTATTAGTCCCAGCATCATTAGCATCTTCTAATTTTGGTATACCTGAAATACAAAGTTGTGTAAATAACTAAAATTATTTACACGATATATGTATATGCAGTTTACCTTGCAATTTTCTTTGCTTTGACTTAGGCCCCAATTTTTGTAACTGACTGTCGGCTTTAAATTTTGCCCACGTTAAAACTGCTTCCACGATTCCAGTTTTCGTTACCTGTGTATAAATCACAGTTTAATTACATATATAGAAGTGTCTTATTAACTGTTACAGTAATGGTAAATTTAATAATTACAGCTGTGACAAATTTTTCACTAAGAGTACATTTTGATCCAAAACTTTTAGCTTGCAATGTCATATTCTCTTTAGTTTGTGAATCAAATGTGGGATTATTAATAAGACAATTAATAAAAATCCATAAATGATTTTTTATTTGGAATGATTTAATTGCTACTCCACCCTTATTTTTCTTTTTTAGTGTCTCTGTCAATTGTTTCACTATTAATTCTGTAACATGATCCACATGGCGGCCACCCTGTTTACAAAAAAATTTGTTCAATTCTTTTTATTAAGTATATAAAAGTTAAATTTTTATTTTATTATATTTATTACCTTTGTTGTTGCAATACTGTTTACAAAAGACATTTGCTGAAAGCCTTTGTCAGATAAAGCAACGGCTACTTCCCAGCGAGGTCCACAATTCTCATATACAATTTTTAAAGGATTGCCAAACTCATCTTCTTTACCCCTGATGTAGAAGTCAACATAGTCCTTGAAATTTTTGATAGGAATCCTACTACCATTAAGATAAACTTTAACACCTCTAGTAGAAGCTGCTACATCATAAGCTCTTCTAGACATAAGAGCAACTATGTCATCATCCAACGACTGCATTTTAAATTTTGATAAATCTGGTGAAAATATGACTTTCGTAAAATCTTCTCCAGAAAAGTCTTTAATCCTAGGCTCACTGGCACTTCCCATGTTATTACTCCATGTCTACAAATGAAATCACATTGCCTTTTGTATAAAAATAACAAACATCAATATTTCAAATATTTTTATAATGTAATTACTTGTTTTAGACATTTTCTATATTCCTTGCATGCAGTTTCCACAGTGAAACGATGACTAAAAATGTTACATAGTTTGGCACCATAGCCATTTCTACCACCTGTTACTTTTTCTTCTTCATCATCATAATTCGATGATGTTAACAAATGGCCAAATATCATTGTAGGAACATACATATTTTCCTCTTTGTGAATTACCACTGGAATGCCTTTGCCATTATTCCATACAGATATAACGTTATTTTCTCTACAAATAAAATTTATTATCCATTGATTATTATTATTATATATATTATTATATGCTACTGTTTCAATGTTTTATATATTTTAAGCAAATAATAGATATTAAGTCATTCTTACGGATCAATTTCAATTTTAATTGCGTCCATAGTAGGATCTCTCTGTTTATTATCTGCCGCATTTACTAAAATTTCATCGAATATTTTGTACAATCCGGGAACATATTTTATTTCTCTTTGCACCATTGCTTCTTTCTCTTTGTCATAAACCCACATTATTTCTGTTACTGGTTCAACAGAACCAATATAGGTATCAGGACGTAATAAAATATGTTCTAATTGAGACTTCTTTTGATATATCCCTTCAATAGTTTTCTTCTTTGATGCATCGCTACTTCCATTTTCTACTGCTGCACACATGTTTGCATAAAATTTTTGTACGTAACTGCAACATTTGAAAATTTCATTGAACAAATGTACATAATACTAGACATTATCTGCATATTATTATTACTTAGATTATTATCGAGAAGTGTAAGTATATTACACTGAAGTATATTAAACTGAAGTATATTGAAGTATAGATTTATTATGAAACAAAAATCTGCCTTTGCAACGTAAATCTTTTCTGTGATTATAAAATTCTACTACTTAATATTAGAATTCATTACAATTGAGATTCAACTTAATTATTGACATTATTCAACTTAATTGTTACCTACATTTTTGTCCTTCGTTTTATAAATACATGTGTGAATTATTTATCATATGAAACTTTAATTTCAATTAATAATAACATTCTCTATGTATGCTCTTTATTTGTAAACAGAAAATCATATAATCACACTACACAGTGAAATGTACCATTATCAATATTATCGGCATTGAATAAAAACAGAACATCAACATAGTAAAATTACATGTAAAAATCGAATAAAATTTCGATTCACTCGACTGACAACATAAATTTTTATAACTCGTTTGGTCAGGACGCGAGACGCGATCGAGTTGAATCCAAAACGGTCCAAACACAACACAGAAACGAAGAAACGAAGTCAAACAATCGCAAAGAAAGACGAACACGAGTACACCGATGGAGCACGATAACGCGAATCCACCTTTGGATCAAAAAGTAAATAAATATATACCGAAAACTTCGTACCCGAAACAAGGTTTACTAATATGGCGGGAAAACATTTTCTGTATAATTGGCTAGAGCGATGAACAACGTCAACTTGACATGCGACCCTTTTTTTTCGAAAACAACGCACGTCTATCGAAAAATGTTCCTCGAAAGACATTTGAGAAAAATTCTGTGCGTGACGCTACGTTGAAAATCTGTTTCCACGACTTACCTGCAACAGAATTGTAATAAAAACAGAATCGCGTCGGCACAAGTATAAAACCACTGTTGAGCTCTGTTCGAGCTGCGTTAACCAACACCGCAGTTGATAAACGACCGGGACTCAACTGATTATCGAAACGTGCCGTCTTCCTTGTTACTTTCGTCGTTCACTCGGCGAGTGAATAACCGAACTTGCACGAAAAAAAATATCCTTCTTTCCTTGCGCTTTGTTTCAGGCTTGTGTCGTAAATTGATGTCTACACGGTAAACTATCCATCTCCAGCGGCTAAAGTCACTTGCAGTGCGGGACGCCGTTTCAAAAGACAGTCAAAGCTTTACGCGAGAAAAAAACGATTTCGTCCCAACTGACACTGAATTCTCTCTCGGTAACCCGTTCAAATTCTGTGAGAAGAAACGACACCATATCGTTTATGCGTTGTTTGTTCAAATATGTATAAAATAACGACGCAGAAATGACAAAAAGATCGATCAGAGAGAGGGAGACTTCAAGCGATAGGGTACGTACGCTCGATGAAAAAATACTGCATGCGTTACGTTTGTTAAGTCAAAATGTTCATTTCGCGTACCTGTTATTTATATTTTAATTTATTTAATTTATATTTTTAATTTCTTTTAATAATTGTTCAAGTAATTATTGTTAAAATCTAAAAAAAAAAGTATACTAGCATTTTCTTCAGTTCAGCGATCTTTACAATTGTATATTGTTCAAATTCTGCGATTAATATTATTCTTTTTTTTTTATATGATTTACTCGCGAATAATAGTTCAAAAAATTGATAATGCATTTGGTGGAGAAAATTGCAGAAGATATATTTGTTGAAATTACATGTAATAATACAAATGTTCACAATTGTGAATATATTTTGGTACTTTTAACTGTAATAAAATCATGTTTAAGAAAATACACATGAATTGAAAATATGTACACGATACTTAAGTATAATATATATTTAAATAAATGTTTAATATTAATAAGATTATACTTTTTAGTGTAAATGGACAAACAACAAATTGTAAAGTAATTTAAAAACAGCGTCATTTTAACCTCGTTTTAATGCATTTCACAGTAACAAAAACAGTACAAAATAATAGCATTTTATCGTCTAAATTCTAATAGAATATCGTACCATTTGTGTTACACTTGTTATGATACATATGATTTATTTGATTTAAATGTAATATGCAGGATCTTGTTCAAAATTAATTTAAAAACGCAGCATATTCAATTTATATCACTGTAGTCCATCTAACGAATCAAATCAGTAGAGCTAAACGAAATTAATCACGTGGTATTTGCAGTTTCAGCTATTGGTTAGTACGTACTTGCTAATGAATTATGATTTTTAGGAACGAGTTTGTACTCATTATTGCATAAAAATAGACTACTTTCCTAAATCTGTTATTTTTGGTTGTTCGATATGATCGATTTTCGACTTATTTAGGAATTAGAAATTTTAAATTCAGAAGCGTATTTTGTAACATCTCAGGATTGCAAATCAAAGCTGTAGTTTTATTTCTACTATTCTTTTATTTATTTCAACTAATTCTACTATTACAAAAATAATAGCATATACATATTATAAATTTATGTTATACTATATACATATTATAAATTTATGTTATAACAGAGACTATCTAAAAAATTAATTGAAACATTATTCGATCTTGCAAAGAACGAATGTATTTTGCGATTATATTGATTTAATGAAAACATGTTAACAATAATTATTAATAATATTAAATATGTTAAAAATAATAATAACGTCATTAAACTATGTACGTTAACGTGGTAAGTGAAATTTTTCCTTATTTAAAATGAAGTTACAATCTAATTTACATCTAGGGAAATTATTCTAAAAATTTTATACGAATTCCCAGTGAAGTAAAATTAAGTCACGTTGGCTACACTGGATATCTAAACATCATACGTGATGTATTTCATTTTATAAACAGCATTGTTTATTTAGTAACGCTGACAGTGAAAGAATTTAAATTATGCATTAAAAATTAGTCGGTTAGAAATATTACAAGTGTGATATTACATTTCATGGATTATTGAAGAAAGAAAAAGAAATTACATTTAGGTGATAGTATTAAATGACAATTGGATATGACAACATTAAAAGGCATTTTCCCTGATTCAAGTACGTCAGTAATTGGAATTATTCGCTGACAATAAAACAATAAAATAATTTTGTACTTGTGTATAATCACCTTTATTTCAAATTAATGATTAATATCTTTTTTCTTTCTAGAATCAATAAAAGGAAAAAATTTTATATATGAAAATGTGAAAAATCTTCGTCAATTTCATGCTAATAAAGGAACAGAAGAAACACAAAAATCACAAGTATCCAATCAAAGAAAGACGATTAATAATGCTAACTGTAGTAATAATTACAACAATGTTTTACCCAAAGTTAACACAAATCTTCGAATGAGAAAACACGATACTAATGCGAATATAAATGTAAATACTAAATTAGATCAACATCAAGAATTATGTAAGAAAACGAGTGTGTCAACTTTAAACAAAAATAATGTTCCTATGAAAAAGACAATACATTCGATGAGTAACAATTTGTTAGTTAAGGAAAGAAAGAAAGGACATAAGGAATTACATAAATGTAAGCAAAAATTGCATGAGAATGTTTCATTAGATCCTGATATTTCACATAAATCTGTTGGGGATAATGATAACTACATAAAAGTTCAAGTTAAAGTTAAAAATCAAGGTATTCAAACATTGGATACGAATGAAATTGAAAATTTATATTCTGAAGGGATAGTTAAGTACGTACATTTGTATATTTTATTTAAACTTCTAAAGTAATTGAATGTTGTCTTATGTATAAAGCAATGTTTCTTGTCGATTTAATATACTCATTTTTTGTTTTCTTATAGACACTATGAAGTTATAATAGAATAAAGTAATTATAGTATATGTAAATATTTGTTAATAATAATTTCTCTGGGCAGATATCCTTCAAAGAAATATTTGGATTATAATGAAGTAATAAAAAATGATATAAATGAAGAAATCAATGTATCTTCGAGGAGTATAACAAATTCACCATTGGATCAAGGAGATATTCAAGTTCTCGAAAAAAATGCACAAAATAAAAAGAATAAATGTGATACAAAAAATTACAAATCTTTATCGTCTAAAGAAGTAAATTTTATTAAATTAAACAAAGAACATAGCTTTGCAACTAATAAAACGATAACTCAAGTAAATAACAACGCTAGTAACAATACGAACAACAACAACAACAACAATATTCCTACAAACTATCGCATGGGTGTAGTTCCGAAGTATGTTATATATTCATATATATGTTATGTTATTCATTAATTAGATTTTTTTTTACATTTTATATTTTAGTCTTCGAAAGTAGTGATTATTAATAATTCATAATTTGTAAATACCACTTTCAATTGTATTTTTAGATATATTAAAAATAGAAAGGAAATTCAAGAAAAGATGCAGAAAGCTAAACAAGAAGAATTAGATCCTCATTGTCCAAATGGTCATGTTCCATTGCCTGATAATGAGCGCAAGGAAACATTGCAAATGTTAAAAAAAAGTGATTTGAAATTTATGTGATTTAAAAAATAAGTAAGTTCTTTAATTCAGAATTGCATTTAAATTAATATCACTATTACAGATTACCAAGATTACGTAAATGAATTAAATATGATGCCCATAAAAGTGGATACTCTTAGGGCGCAGAGACGAAAAATAGAAATAGAAAAGCAATTGAATAAATTAGAAGAAGGGATAAAAGTTTTCTCAAGACCAAAAGTTTATGTAAAAATGAATGCCTGAATTATTCTTTTGTTATATAAAATTATATAATTTAATATATAAGAAACAGGAATGGAACAACAAAAAAAGCTCCTAAATGATTTCCTTCATTTTTTAATGGAGCTTTGCCAATTTATAAAATTTATCAAATCAAATAGATTTATATTTTAAAAATCAAAAAGTAAAAGAATATTTGAGAACATTAGAATTTTAATGTTATTATTTACATAATTAAAATATACATCATTTTTTTATATATTCCATTTCAAGAAAAAGGGAGTAAAATAATTGCTTCAAATATACGAGGTTTTAATGTCATTGACTAATTACAGTACAAGCAATGCATTGAGGAGAAATATTTCAACAATTTCTTTTACTTTTTGAATTTCTAATGTAATTTCTAAATTATTGATAATTATTGATAATTAAAGATAAATTACATCTTAAATTATTAGTGTAGAATATTGCTTTCAATTGCAATATTTTGATTTTTTTATTGTACATATCACTTTTTTTTATATTACTTTGTTTTAATTACACTACTCTTTGGATATTGTGTACTTATTGTCACATAATGTTATTATCTTTTTCAACTTATGCTGAATGTATTTCTGACTACTTGGCAGCTTGAATTGCATCATATAGATATAGATACGTCTATATGTGTATATATATTTATGTTTAATTGTATATAATATATACAATTTTTGTAAAACTCTATATTATTAAATATTTAATAAAAGCTGAGTACTTTATTTACAATATTTACTTTGTAATTTGTTCTTTATTAGTGTTTACGAAACTTGTATCAATAGTATGTAAAAAGGCAACTGGATCAAAATGAATTTGACCTAAATTGTAATATTTTTCATCATGTTCATACCATTTTTTAATATTGAAATTACCAAAGAATATGTTTATTTCTCTCTCCGCTGATGCAATTGAATCTAAAAAAACAATTATTTCATATGATATACAAATAACATAAATAAAAATGTATAAACTGAAAAGTATACCAGAACCATGAGTTGCATTTCTTGTATCCGATAAACCGTACATTCCCCGAATCGTATCAGGAGCAATATACTGTGCCTGGTACACTTTTGTAGGGCCCATTAATTGCCTCCACTTAGCAATAGCATTGTGATCTGCCAAGATATGAATATCTGATGGGCCACTACACATAAATGTCAAAAGACGATTGTAGAAAAACTTTTCTTTGTGTTCTTCATAAAACAATTCTGCCTCCTTATGAGTGATTACCGTCCTGTGCGATCTGACAATTTTTAAATTGTTGTCAATTATTAAGTCTCGAATTTTCTGAAATTGCAATGATATTTAAATATAACCATTATCATTATTTTTTTTTTTTGGAAATCGTTCTGTTAATCCTGCTTTTTTATTATTCAAAATTCTACATATATATGTACGTTAAATAAAAATTCAAGTTACTTAATTAGATTAAATTAAATTTAGGTTATGTCTTCTTACCTGGAGCACAAAAGGAGATTTAACAACATGTGGTTTGATTATTGCCAAAGTTAGTTGAAGATGCTTTTGTGATTGCATTTCAATACATTAGTTACCTATCATTTTTTTTATAAACGATTAAAATTTCTCACAGTGAGTTAAAAGTCAACTACAAACATTCCGTTCAAAAACATGATATATATTCGATTCACAATATAATAAACGAGGTTCGCAACATAAATTACGTGGAACATGTTGTTTATATTTATTACAAATGAAGTACAGAATACTATGCTGCACGCACTTCATCGTAATCCTACGGATTTTGAAACTATGTAGCAACCGATTACGACGTGATAATTTCCCATATAAAAAAAATTAATATATCACAGACCTACTATAATCTCAAGGAATATAATTATTTCTCTGATTTCGAAATGTAATACATTCTTTAAAAAATTACGCGGCAAAAGTTCATCAATCATCATGTACAGTTATTTTTAAAGTTTTAAATGAACAAGTAACAGATACACATATGTATTTTCGTTTGCTTCCCGGCACAATCAAACCATTCCCAACAAAACATCATTACTGAATGTAACTCATACGTACATTATGAACGTGTAAGTTTTTACGTGCATTTAGAAAATCAAACAGAATGAAGTAGAAAAGTCGAGTCTAATTGAAGTCCAGTAATAAAAGTTCATAAATTAATTCCTTTAAATAGATTTGTTTCTTTTTTTTCAATTAAAAATTTAGTTAATTCATGGACATTGAAATGCTAGCACTACGTAGTGGTGATCCGGTGGAACTAAGATCTACTACTGTCCTTACTGGATCTACTACTGTCACACTAGCGTTCTTATCTATCACGTTGTATAAGTCTGCCTTCGTTGCACACTATTGTGCTCCTTATGAACAAGACGCGTGCTGCTGTCTATCGGAAGAAAATTGGAACTATCTAGTGGGAATGTAGGTACGATGATCCATAAATGATAAAATCACCGTACTACAAAGGAAAATTTTATAATTTATTTTAACGTTTACATGATACAGAATTTGATGGATGAATTACGACTGACGACTGTTTATTAATTTCTTATTTTTACTATTATATATATTCTTGGAAATTTGTTTGTAACTTGATAACCAATAATTTATTGTATCTCCATGGTAACTTTTTATAAGACTGAATAGATGTCGCTACAGGAGAGAACAATGTACTGCTATCTATCGAATTTTTGTGTTTTACTCTTTTAGTTTCAGTCGGAATTGAGATGAACTTAGATGACAGCACTATTGATAAACAAGGAGAGCACTAGTATGCGATAAAATCAGACAATGTGAGAGAGAAGGAGGGTAGTAGCACGTGACGAGGACAGCAATAGATTTTAGTTCTACCGTTTCACCGCTACATGGTGCTAGTATTTCAATGTTTATAAATTTAGTAAATTTTCATTTGTCGTAGAAACTATTAAAAAGGATTAATTTGCAAACTTTTGCGATTGTATCTTTATTTTTAGACCCTAGACTTTCTTCCTACATTTTTTTCAACTTGTAAAATGTACGAATAAAGATTTTAAATTTCCGCTCTACAGGTCGAAAAACTCGAACACGAAAAATATTGAATTTCTGGTAGTTGCACTCAGTAGTTAAATGAAAATTATTCCTGAATTATTTCTTAAAAAGACGTACAAGTTTCGCGCAGTTTCTGACGCGTCTTTATTTAATTTGTTATTAAAAATTATTACGCGTCTCGTTGTTACGATCAACGAATCCTACTTGAGTTTTTGTTCTTTCGAATTAATTTATAAACATTTTTACGCATAGTATAAAATGCAAAATTCTACGGGATTCAATTTGCAGTATTAGATAATAATTTTATAAATCCATTTACAATACAATACGCATAGGATAAAGTGCAAAATTATATGGGATTCAATTTTCAGTATTAGATAATAATTTTATAAATCCATTTACAATATATTGTTTTACCAACATTGGGTATTGTAAATTAATATTATAATCAACCTCTCGTTATTGACTTGTATAATTAATATTTCGAGTCATATAATATTTTTCTTTAATTAATACTTATGAACCATCTATGAAACTGTTTTATTCGTGGCGATTCATTTAAGTTTATATGTGCATAAAGTTATGGTTGTTGTGCATATGTCAATTTGACTAAAAGTATAATTAATCTGGTGTTTCATTTGCATTAATTTATTCCTATGGCATCTCCAGCACCGAAATCACCAGAACAATCTGAAAGAAATAGAAAATACGATAGACAATTAAGGTATATATTGTTTATACATACATACATCATACATACATGACATATAAACATACACATACACACACGCAACACACACATACTATTTCAGAATTAAAAAGTTAATTGGAGATAATGATATACTTTAACGCAAAATAATTTATGTTATAATATATTAATAGGTTATGGGGCGATCACGGTCAAGCTGCACTGGAAGGAGCGCATGTTTGTATCATAAATGCTACAGCCCTTGGGACAGAAATTTTGAAATCCTTAGTCTTACCAGGTATTGGAGCATTTACAATTGTAGATGGGAAAAAAGTTACCAATGAAGACATCGGAGCAAAGTATGTATGCAAAAGTGATAGTAATTATATATGAAAAAAAGCTGTATAATAGATGTTTTCAATGTAGCTATCATATATCTTTTGAATAGTTTCTTTCTAGAAACAGACAGTGTAGGAAAATCAAGAGCACAGGTAGCAACACAAATGCTTTTGGAACTGAACTCAGATGTTAGAGGTGACTACATAGACGAGGAACCTGATCAAATTTTGTATAATAGTCCAGATTTTTTCAATAATTTTACCGTTGTTGTGGCTACTTGTTTAGCTGAGAAGTAAGAATCATTATAAATGATAAATTATTGTGGGAATTTGATTCAGATTAAATTCTAACAAAATAAAATTGTCAGATCTTTAGTTCTTCTGTCACAAAAACTTTGGGAATTAAATATACCTTTAATAGTATGCAGAACTATAGGATTCATTGCATACATGAGAATTCAAGTAAAGGAGCATGTGGTCATAGAAACACATCCGGATAATGAGATTCCAGATTTACGTTTAGACAAACCATTCGAGACACTAAAGAAGCATATTGATTCTGTGAATTTAGATGAACTGAGTTTCAAAGATCATTCTCATGTACCGTACTTAATTGTGTTATACAAATTTTTAGAAAAATGGATTTTAAGCAAAGGGGAGTTACCAAAAAGTTACAAGGAGAAAAGTCAGTTAAAACAAATGATAAAAGAAGGAATGAGAAGGGACGAGAATGATACTTCAAATAGCGAGGAGAATTTTGAAGAAGCTATTAAAGCTGTTAACACATGCGTAGGACGTACTGAAATTCCAGAGAACGTAACGAATGTTCTTAACGATGATCAGTGTATTAATTTAACAGCTAAGGTATTAGAAAAAAGTATTATTGTAGCAGTAAGTAATATAACTTTAAATGAACTTAATATACTTTCAGAGTAGTTCATTTTGGATTATAGCTAAGGCAGTGAAAGATTTTGTTCAGAATGAAGGAGGCGGATTATTACCATTGAAAGGCACTTTGCCTGATATGACAGCGGATACGGAAAAGTATATAACACTTCAGCAAATGTGAGATCTCTTGACACGAGACGTTTATTGCAAAAATATTGTTTTTTTTTAGTTATTTATTTATTACAGTTATCACAAACAAGCGATAGCTGACGCAGAAGCAGTATGGCGACGAACGTTGCAATTGTTACGACAATTAGGAAAGTCGTCAGATTCCATTCCCGAAAGAGATGTCAAATTGTTTTGCAGACACGTTTTGAATATACACGTAGCAAGGGGGACGTGTATTGCAGATGAATATGATTCTAAAATATTTGATGCAAGCAATATAGGTATTGTATAAAGTTTGAAATCAAGACGATTAAAATTACTGCATAGTTTTCGAAATATTAAACAACATATATGTAAATTAATGATTTTATATTTTTTTTTCAGTACAATGTTTGGAAAATCCAGAGAGTATGATGATTTATTATGTCGTTCTTAGAGGAATTGAGAAATTTCAAACGGAATATAACTCGTATCCTGGAGAGTTTGATGATCAAGTAGAACCTGATATAGTTAAGCTTAAAGTATGTTTCATATATAAAATAATAATATTAATCGATAGAAATATAAATCTTGTTATATAATTTTACTGCATAGGCATGCATAACAAAGTTACTGAGTGAATGGGGATGTGGACCATTGGTAAAAGATGATTACGTACACGAATTTTGTCGATTCGGTGGCGCAGAGTTACATTCGGTATCTGCATTTTTAGGCGGCCTTGCAGCCCAAGAAGTCATTAAATTTGTTACAAATCAATATAAACCAGTTCATAATACCTTTATATACGATGCAGTGACATCAAATTCTGGAACATTTTTCTTTTAATTAAGTTAAATATTAAGTTAATGATATATTTCTGTGTAAAATAAAATATACATTTTTGTAATTTATGTGATAAATTTTGTTCATTTTATGACTGATTATAACATATAACCGTAAAATTAAAAAACGTGGAATGTGACTCGTAGAAATGTGATATTAAAACTCAAGTTGAACGAGTATAATATCAACACTTTAATGTAATAATTAATTGATACACAAATTATTTTATCCTTATTTATAATAATAAACCACTATTAACCATTACTTATGACAAACTATTGTTTTAATTTATAGTAAATATGTCTAAGGCATAAAGCAAATTAATATTTCATGTCTTACAACTAATATTGTACATAAATATTTTACCGGTGTTCTAGTCTCAATGTAATTTAACAAAACGATGAATTGTGCTTTGATTTTTAATTTCTTTGTTTTGTACAATATTAGTATCTTATATTATATATTGTTACACAGATTATAAATTAATATAACATATTGAATTAATTATTTGCTACAATTAAGGATACTATAATATAAAAATTTAATATTTCATCTTTGCGTGAGCCACTTCAGTATTTATAATCGATGATTATTGATTATTTTATTATTTTTAACGTGACTTTTTTTCTAGCTATATCTTCGTTCGTATTTAACAATTAACGTTTTATGTAAACTTTTTTACAAAGATACCGATACAGAAGTGGTTAGGCAAAAGTTTGACAAAATGATTTTAATAATAATTAAATATACATTTTGTACTGCGCGTACACAATAAATACATAGAGACTTAAACTAATAAAAGATATTGAGCCATACGTAATCAAGAACATGAAGTGAAATTCTACTTAAAAGAAACAGATGAAAGATTTTAAACGTATCTAATGTCTGGAGATATTACAGAGGATTACAGAGTTAATAAGTTCATGAATAAGTAATTAATTAGCAAAAGAAGAGAAATACAACACTGATATCAATAGGAGAACATCTATTCTTAGTGTTTGAGAGAAACACCGGTATAGAATTACAATTTTTATGACGTGCACTTGAAGGATTTAGTCTATTAATTTTTTTATTTGTTAAAATTTGAGCCGTATAGTTTGTTTATTAGTTTCAATTATTATTCCACAATTTATGAAAGCAACAAACACTTGTACAATAATAAATGGCTTAAAATTATTCACATAATTATTTTCAAATCTTCACGTATTTTCTTACAAATTTATTGATTTGCATGACACATCAATATTTCTATTGATTAATAAAATTTTTTTTACATATTTTTGCATAAGAAGCACAATGATATTGTAACAATAAAAAAAACAGTGAAATTTATATAAATTAAATTCTCAAATTTTTATAAATTGAAACAATACTACTTTGAATAATATATATAATGTATATATCGAATATATAACTTTACTATACGACTCCCTCATGATCATTATTAAGATAGGTATTGGAAGATTTTTATAAGTGCAGAAAGTTTTCAAGGCATGATCTCTTAATGAGACCAACTATACTTGTTAAAAGTATTATACTTGTTAAAAGTATACTAAATTTTTTTGTGATAAATCCTTGGTACAAGAAATATTAGTAATCTGTTTATACTGTTGATATTCTAGAGAACAATTTCTAATTTATTAGGAATATTAAAGTCTTAGGCAAAAATCATAATATAGTATAGATAAATTTTAATATGCAACAAATGTTGACATTCATCAAATTTGTGTAGAAAAAAATTATTACTTTTTTTCATGCTGAGAAAGAAAGAGAAAGAGAGAAAAAGAGAGAAAGAGAGCAAGAGAGAAAGTATTAAGATTGCTATATATAAGAGTTCAGGCATAATCTGTATTTTTTTCTTAAATATTAAACCATGAAATGTTATAGGAAGAAGTTAAAATCATTAGATAGTTGAATTTGAATTTTATACATTTTATCTTTAGGAAGAAATTATACAGTTTAAGAAGAAATATCACGACAAACACGAGCAGTAAATGCTATTTCATTATTATTTTTACTAGTTGCAATCATTGTTTTAGAAATCCATAAAAATGTTATTTTTTTCAATAACAATATTATAACACATGAACATTTGAACAATAGTATGTAACACGTGATTTTTCAATTGACTTGGGTTATAACAAATCAGCAATGGTACAGTTAATTTTCAGTATAATAAATTCAAGAAAGTTTATAAGCGCTCTCTCATAAGATACATTTTTCTTTAATTTTTTTTCAAAAAAAACTCTGAATGATCGTTCAGTATATAATGTATCTAATATTAAAAAAAAAAAGAAGAAGAAATTATTTTTCATACCCATCTTGTAGTATCTTTTTATTTTTTTCTTTAAACGTAAATAGACTTTTGTATTTTAATTTCTAATGATCGCAAAACACTCTACTTTTTTAATGTTTGATGGTATAATAATTGAAAGTATTTGACAAGTATTATAGTCATTAATAGAAACAAAATGCATTTATACACAGACACACACACATATATATATATATATATATATATAATTATGGAAAGAATATTAAGCTCAAATAAATTACTTTTGTTGCATTTGTCACATGTTAAAACTTTCACGTTTGCAATATAGTATAATATATTTATATACACTTGTTACATTCTTCATTTTTGTGTATTTAAATACATACATTTTACATTGTTGAAATTATTTTGTGCATATACCTATTGTTAGTTTGATGTCAGTTAATTGATTATTTAATGGCTCAATTCTAAAAACTTTGTAAAAACGATGTAAGCAGATTAATAGATGTTGAATATAAATAAACTATCAGATTGAAATTTTTATTAATATTGTAACATTGTAATTAATGAAATTATCGCGCAAGTTAAAAATAAATTAACAAAAAATCATTTTTTATACATAAATTTAATATTATCTAGCCACATATAAAATAACGTAGGTTGAGAATGATTTTAAGAATAAATTAAAATCGTTATAAAATAAAACGACGGAGAATCAAATTTTCTTGAGTAAATTAACGGAACAACAGATACAGTAAGAAAAGAAAGGAATCAATATATATACAGCGGTAAGTTTATAGAACTTTTTAATTATTATTATTATATAATTTAATAATTTTTAATTCTCATCGTAAAATGTGTTTTCCTTCTATTTTTCAATTATATTAACTGACTAATACTACTCGTGTTTTGACAAATTGACACGACTTAATATCCATCTTACGTGTTTCTTTTCATAAAAAAACTGTTAGAAAATTGTTAAATATTGGGCGACTGTGAAATTATAAAAATTACACGACATCACCGATTTTTTCAAAAATCGTGCTAATTTAGTCGCGATATTTACTTTTTTTTTTTTTTCCTCTTTTTTCTTCTCCTGTTTATTGCTTCTCCTGGTTCAAGGTACAATAATTACATTTCGTGTGTCAACTAGTACTGAATGTAAAATATCGGTCCTACTTTTATCTAAATAGAGTTTTCTTTGTGTTTCCTTCTCTTTCCTTTTTTTTTTTTTTTTGTATATTTCAGAAGGCAAAGTCGTTTCTCTTTATAATTTACTAGCTCTTCCCCATCCGTGTTACTATTTCTGTTTGCTATTGAAGTAGCGAGAAAAATTCAAGATTTGTTTTAGAATCTTACATATTAATTTTAATGAGGTTATTTTAATTTATACAGTGACTATATGGATAAAAGATATAACTATGTAGTCTTTATCCTTAATTATTAATGAGCACAAGATGAATGAATGTACATCTTAGAAAGTATAATAAGTATACATACGTGATCGAGATACAAACATATACATACACATATATATCTATATATGCCGGGTGTATATGTGTACGTATCTTTGTTTTTTGTATCCTTTTATAATATGTTGCTCTTTTGTAAAACAATACTGCCAGTGTAACGACCAAGTGCAAAACCATGACATATATATACGTCGGCCATTTCTTTCAGTGACATCAAGCAGAACAAGGGGGATTAAAAATTAATAAATTAATCAGTTGTACTAGCTCATAGATATATCACAAAAAGTCATATCACAAAAGAAAAAAAAAAAAAAAAAAAACAACGATGAATTTTTTGTCAAAAGAACTGGAGCTCTTTTTCTTCTTCTTCTTCTTCTGGAACGCAAGAACGAAAAAAAAA